GAAGCACCCCTTCCAGCATGGGGACAAAGTGAAATGCCTGCTGGACATTGACATCTTACGAGAGATGCAAGAGGGACATGGTGGCTGGAACCCTAAAATGGCTGAGGTACGGCTGTTTCTGCTCACTGCTGCCTTTAGAGAAATAACTGGTCACTTTGGTCAAGAAATTGCCAGAAACTGTGTGTGTGCGTAAAACCTATTGTCTTCTGTTCTAAATATATAGGGTGGCACACTCGGATTCTTTAGTGCCAGAACACTGGAGTCGGATGCTTATTTTTAGGTGTATGTAAATCGGCATTGCAAGATATTTACCAAATCTAGACCTGCAGATGCTAAGAGCTGGGTCCAAAGTCTGGAAGTCCATGCAAAAACTCCTGTTGATTTTCAGTGAGATTTAGGTCAGATCCTGGAGGTTTGGGCTCCATTCCCTTTGCAGCTTTGTTGTAATGTGACTTAGTGCTAATACCATTCCACATGGCCCTCCATGTGAAGAAGCATCACTATCTGTGGCTAAAATTCCCCTGTCCATAAGTGCCTCCTGGAGCTTAGCTGGTTTCTTTGTTTTATAGTAGCCACCAAACTGCTGTCATCCGTAGTGGTTATCACATTTGCCTAACACGCAAAAGGTCCCTGGTTCAAAGCCAGGCAGAAACACCATCTCTCCTCTTGGTGAGAGGGCTGGCTCAGTGGTTTGAGCATTGATTGGCCTGCTAAACCCAGGGTTTTGAGTTCAATCCTTGCGGAGGCCATTTAAGGATTTGGGGCAAAAATGTGTCAGGGATGGTACTTGGTCCTGCTGTGAAGGCAGGGGACTGGACTCGATGACCTTTCAAGGTCCCTTCCTGTTCTAGGAGATAGGCAATCTCCATTAATTTATCTGTTATGTTCTGAAGATGTTCAGACAGTAGATCCAGGGCTGTAGATGGAAATAAGGCCTGTTGGTAGAACAGTTAGAGTAATTGTTGTTGTCAGTGGAATGGAGCAGTCATTTAAAAATAGCTTTTACATGTCTGATCTTGCAAACCCTTAACTCTTACTAACAATTCCTTTCTCACCTGAGGAGATTCAAAGTCACTGGAATTAACTGTGCAAAAACTATTCACGTGATCATGGAGTTACAGGACTGGATCACTGGCCAAAATATTCAAACCTGCATGATATTCAAATATTAATATTTAATATTCAAATATTAAACTGCCCATCTGAATTGAAGTCATGTTCTTCCAAGGTGCAGAGTACCTCTATTTCCCATTGACTTGGATGGACTCTGGAGCTGATGAGCACTTCTGAAAAAATTCTGGGGGACTCGTAACTTGGGACCAACATAGCTACAGCACCACAGACCTTCAAGTCAATGACAGTCTTCTTGCTGAGTTCAGTGAAGGCTGGATGGGTCTAAATGTGGGTTTGGGTGCCCAATATAAGCTGCCCTGAGTCACAGAGCTGAAAGATCATTCATCTGTAAGCGCTAATATTCAACCCTAAGGCCCAGACACACAACATAGAATCCTAGGACTGGAAGGTCATCTGGTCCAGTCCCCTGCATTCATGGCAGGATTAAGTCATCTAGACCAGTGGTTCCCAACCTCCGGGAGCCCACTGCTGGGCCATGGCTGTAGGGCCGCTGAGAGAGACATGTCCTGCCCCACTTCTCAGCCAACCAGCGCTGGGCAAGGGTGGGGTCTCTCCGGCCATGGAAGAGTGCTTCCCTGCGTA